CCCCAAAACCCTATAAACCCGAAACCTGAAGCCTAACCTGAGGTTCCTTTTGTGACCTTCTTTTGGTACTTGCTGCTACCAGCTCCGGCCTGAGGATAGGACTCTCAGAGGCTGCAATTGCAGGCATTTCGAGACTTGGACTTCCGGTGAGGGTTTAGGTCGGGAGTTCAAGCTTCAGGTTTGGAGGTTTAAGGTTTAGGGGTTTTGGGGGGTTGGGGTGTCGGGGGTTTCTGGCATCAGGCCCAATACATCAATATATATATATATATGTATGTATGTATATGTATATGTATATAGAAGTCTGAGTAACTAGCAATTCGATATACCGTAGTCTAATTACTCAGGCCCCTCTGTTGCCCTAAACTCTACAACGCCTAGGCCTTGGACTTCGAAAACACTTTGCTGAACAAAAATGCGATGAGGGCGGCAAGCAGCGTAGTTGCCAAATTGTAACGACGCCTGTGCTTAGCGTAGGCTTGTCGAAGTGCGATTTCAGGGCAGTTTTGTGTTTCTAGATTTCGTCTAAAGCATGAGACACAAGCGTGGTCTAGACAAATCAACGACGCATCAAAGAACATGAACTAAATGTAGAAGCCTAATATAATTATCATTTTTATTTGGGGGGTTCCTTCTTATATTTATACTATATAAAGGAGCCCAAAACCCTTTTCTGATTATTAGCGCATGCTCCCAGCGAGAGTCTTCAGAAATGTACAACTCTTCCGCGTTCCTTGCGAAACCCCCGTAGTTAATGTAAGGTTTTGCTTTCAAGGGATCTATAGGGTTCTTTACAGGGATCTATAGGGTTCTTTAAAGGGATCGGTAGGGTTCCTTAAAAGGGTTTAGGGTTTTAGGGTTTAGGGTTTAGGGATTTAGGGTTTAGGGGTTTAGGGTTTTGGAGGTTTAGGGTTTAGGGGTTCAGGGTTTGGGGTTTAGGGTTTCGGGGTTTAGGGTTTAGGCTGAGCAAAGTTCATATACCATGGAGGGATTCGGAGTTTAAGGGTATTTCATATACCATATAGGGATGCGTAGTAAAAGTGTATAATTATAATGGGGCCGCTACTTTTTGGGGTCCTTTGGTCCCCAAGGAAGAGCACGCGAATTTCAGGGCACAGGGTGTCAGGGTTATACGTTTTTGGTGTTGAGCTGTGGGTTCGCTTCAATATGCGGTGAGCAGTGCGAATAAAGCAGACCCACTTGATTATATCAATTTTGTCGCAGGGTTGATAAGGGACCCCTGTGGATGCAGTTTGCCAATGGGGCCCAATGGCACCCAGTAGGTGCAGTTGCAACCCACCAGGGGTCGCTCAAGAACCCCGTGATTATATTTCCCTGACAGCAACAGCGGGATTTGCTCAAGCCTAAAACCACAGCCCCAAGTCTCAAAATCTCAACCGTTGGCCCTTTCCCCTAAAAGACGAAACCCGTTCCAGGCGCGCAAGAGCTGCCAAGGTGCTTGGCTGGATACCGATTGCGCGGGATTTTGGGTCCAAGCTGGTTTCAGGTTTGGGATTCAGAGCTTTAGGTTTACGCTCTAGGGTTTAGGGTATTTCGGTGTGGGTAGCCGCAGCAACAGTGCCAGTGGACGGCCATCACATGCCATCATCATTTCCCGATCTTCAAAATCATCATAACAGCCGTGCCACCGCGGTGATAGCATGTAATCAGAACGTGGGTAATGGTTATGATGCCGTCGATATTACAACAACTTTCAATAGCCCGATGCAAGGAGTATACCACAACTCTTGACTGTATGGTGCTAGACCTGTTCCAGGATTTTGTCCATCATCAGCAGCAGTCAGATGGACATAAACCCTAAGTCCTGAACCCTCAAATCTTGAATCCCCACAGCTCTCGACAAAGCCCTGCCAAGACCATGTAGCAGCAGAACCCCTAAACTGTAAACCCCACAACCCCTAAAACCCTAAAGCCTGATAGTAAAACACTTCAATCGACTAGTGGTCGTCATGGGCTGATTGCTGCTGCTGGAACCCGGAGTCACCAGAAGTACAAGCGCCACCAACAGCGAGTTTAGGGTATGGGGTGCAGGGTATAGTTTTTCAGAGTTATGTAGTTAGGGTTGAGTCAGGGCATGGGGGATTATTGCATCAAGAGCACAAAGCAGAGCTTGTATGGTTCGATGCCTTTGTTGGGTGTCTCTTCTTCGTCTGAATCTCGAAGAAGCAAGGAATGCCGGGCACACGAATCTCACCGCGGATGGGGCCTCTGAGGATTGTACTCGGACGTGCTCGACACACCTTTGAAGCACCCCTGCACTCCTGAAACGTAAACCTTGTAATAATCCATATAGAACCCCCTTTTTTTGGAAGCCTTGACGAAGTCCTGTAAAGGAAAACCGTTAAAGGAACCCAAAGAGGTTCCCTTCGAAGGAACCTTGAACCCTAAACCCTATGACAGCCTACAAAAAAATTCTAAACCCTATAGCAGCCTGTAAAAAAAGAAACCCTAAACCCTATAACAGCCTCAAAAAAGACCCTAAACCCTAACAGCCTCTATAAAAAAACAACTCTAAATCCGTTGCTTCTTTAGGCGCAGAGCCAAGACATGGCCTTCTGGATGACGCAGATGGAGGCTCCCCTTTTAAAGGATCCTTCCCCGGAGCCCTAAACGGTTCTAGGGTTTAGGGTTCAGGGTTTAGGGTTTAGGGTTTAGGGTTAATTATAGGAATTTAGGGTTTAGGGTTTAGGGGAAGAGTTTCTTTATGGGATCCCTTAGAGGAGTCTTTCGAATCCTTTAAGGGGACCCCTCAAAGGTTCCTTTAAAGGGTTTCTTTCAGGGATCTTCGATGATTCCCCAACCCCGAAGCCACAACTCCTGCAACGCAAGCCCTCAACCGCCGACAACCTCCTAAGCCCTTTAGGGTTTCGGGTTTAGGGTTTAGGGGTTTAGGGGCTTAAGGTTTAGGGTTTCGGGTTTAGGGTTTAGGGGTTTAGGGGCTTAAGGTTTAGGGTTTCGGGTTAGAGTTTCGGGGTTTAGGGGTTTAGGGTTGAACCCTTGACGCCAACACCGTAAACCCTAAATCCTAAACTCTTGATTCCGAAACCCTAAACTCACGAGGTTACCCAGCCAGAGATTCTGCGTGCCGTCCCGGCCTTTCAAATTTTACAGTGCTTCGGCCGCGTCCTGCGGTGCCGGGGCAGTGGGGACTACTATGGCCTGAGCCTGGCTGTGAATTTACGAGGGTGTTGGGTTTGGGGTTTAGGGTTATATGGCGCTTACTGCAGGGGTTTGAATTTGGCAGGGCTTCGATGTGGGTTACTGTAAGGGCCTATGAGAAGACGGTTGCTCTAAGGGTTACTGCGGCTGAATGGGAGTTAGGGCTTGGGGTTCGTTTGAGATTTTGGGTTTTGGGTTTCGGGCTAGGGAAAAGGCTTCTAGGAAGCTTGATGTCCAGGCTTGTCTTACAGGTTCCAGCAAGATGGTTTCAAGTAGCTTTGAAGCGGTTTGGTAGTGTTGTTGAGGAACCTTGGTTGAGTTGCCAGAGTACGGCAGGCACATAACAGTTCACCACAGCCCCGTGGAGGAGCCGTGCTGTCAGCTCCATCGACGAGTTCTGCTCGCACAGTTGGCATGGATCAGCCTGGATGAAGGCATCACTGTTGCTGTTGATGAAGAACGGGATGGCAGCCTTTGTGGCTGGGACCCTCAGTGCACCTTGGCTCTGAGGAGCTTGATGGACACATTCCCAGGCTGGTTAGGCAGTGCCAGATGCTCTCTCCGAACGAAGGCAGCAAGCATTGGCGATCGTTCAGGTGCAATTCGCACCGCGCAACACAAGTCGTTAAGGGAATGTTGGGCATGTTTGTCGATATGCAAACTTAAAAACGTGTAGAACAACGTTAAATCAACCATGCAGGTATGCGTGGTGGTTAAGGTAGTCATGGTTTCCTCGGCGTTGGTAGCGTAAATGCAAGTTTAATTACACAGTGGGTAATGCAGTTTCTTTAGTGTTGGTAGCTTGCACGCAACTTTAAACTTGTTACCCTAAACCCTAAACCCTAAACCACGAGCCCAGGCACTGGTGATGATGTGCCTTTTTTGTCTGGACCTTCTGCCCGGCTACTTCCGGCGACCCTTCCTCGGAAGCGACACGGAGTACAAGTACGGGCCCTGGGCCTTGTTGACAGGAGTGGTCGTCTCAACGTTGACGCTGTTCCTGTGGCGGCCGAAGCAAGCGATGTTTTTGGATCGGATTTGCATCAACCAGGTAGATCAGGCAATGAAGGCCGAGGGCGTCCTGAACATGGGCGCCATCTTAAAGCATTCGGACTCCATGCTTGTCCTCTGGGACACGACGTTCGCTTCGAGGCTTTGGGACCATAGGAACGCTAGTGACTGTCAGTAGTGACATAATCTTGATAGTGCGCGCGCACACACACACATGCGGCTACATGCGCACATAGGTAGATAGGTAGATAGATTAATAGATAGACAGATAGATAGATAGGTAGATAGATAGGTAGATAGGTAGATAGGTAGATAGGTAGATAGATAGACCGATAGATCGACATATCGATATATGCATACCCTGCACAGCGATCGCTTCGAGGCTTTGGTGCTTGTTTGAGATGGCAGCGTTTCTGAAGAGCCATGAGGATGGGTTGGAGCATCTCCGCATCAAGCCGACCTACCTGGCGCCATGCACATTTGTTATCGCCTTCTGTGTCATGCTGATGATGCTCTTCGAGCTTACCGTCCCCTTCGTTAGCATCTACGTCGTAGTCATGAAGCTCCTTGGTGGCTGAGTAGACAAGCTTTCACCCTGTCGGGAATACAAACTGCTGTCAAACTTAGCCTTTAAGCCCCAAGCGCAAAGCCCAAAAGGCCCTAAATCCCGAAACCCTGAACCCAAAACGCCTTAAATCCCTAAACCCTAAACCCTAAGCCCAAAAGGCCCCAAATCCCCAAACCCTAAACCCTAAACCCTAAGCCCAGAAGGCCTTAAATGCTTGATCGGGCTCATGGTGCTTAGCCCCAAGGCTCTCTCTGCTGGCGCTCTCCTGCATCACTGCGGCAAGGCTCCTCTTCCTCTACTACAGCTCCGTGCGTGCGCTGCAGGAGCAACGCCTAAACCCGAAAGTCCTAAACACTAAAACCTTAAAACTCTAAAACACTAAAAAACCTATAAGCCCTGAACCCTATAAACCCCAAAGTCCTATACCCTAAACCCTACACCCCGAAACCCGAAACCCCTAAACCCGAACGCCCGAAGTCCGAAATCCTCAGGCCTTTTAAACCTGAATGCCCTAAGAAGGGGCTTAGGTTTACAGTAAGGTTTAAATTGTAAGGCCTGGGGCTTAGGGTTTAGGGTTTAGAGGGCTTACATTTTAGAGATTCTGAGGAACAACTTCGCGACTTCCGCATCGTGGACGCGAAGTGCGTCTGCTGCGATCTGGGCCACGTGGATGTGAGCCTGGGATCGGCGGTCATCTGCGACAGAGAGATTGTGGGGGACTCTGGGTTTTGTTAACTTAGTGGCTGAATTACTACACTTTAAACTTTTTGGGATATTATGATCCCTTATTGCACTGAAAGTGTACACCTTTGTTCTCATGAACTCCGCAACTAAGGTAAGGAATTTTCCATTAAGTTAGCACAATAGTAATAGGGATTCATTTTACATAATATAGTTTCCTTATTTTGGTAATTCAAGTCACAGTTCCTGAGCAAGAACCAAGGAATGCATCACTGAATGGTTTGGGTCTGTGGATGGCTTCGAAAGCTCCCTGGCAACAGTGCCTTTTTGAGTTTTGGGTTTAGGGTTTACGGCTGTGAGCCTGACTACTGGCCCAGTTTTTCAAGTTTAAGCCCTAAACGCAGACGGTTCTCACACGCCCATGAACCCCTAAACCCACCCAAACCCCCCGCCCCGTGAACCCCTAAACCGCAAAACCGTAAACCCCCTTGTAGCGCTCCAAAGAACTTTCAAAAGCCACCTGACTTGAAAGGATCCCGAAACCCTAAACCTTAAACCCTAAACCTTAAACCATAGATCCTAAATCCTAAACCTTCAACCCTAAACCTTAAACCATAGGTCCTAGATCCCCCAACCACCCAAACCCACCACCTAAAAACCCCAAAACCCCGAAGCCCCCCCCCAACAACCCCGAGACTCCAATATCCCTTAATGAAGGAATATACCTTAAACCTTATTAGGGTTCCTATTATAATTTACGGTATATTCCTTAATGAACTGAAAACCCCAAGACCCCGAAGCCCCCCGAAAAAGCGCCCGAGGCTCCGTGCGCTCCACGGTGTCGAAGGCTCTTTCTGGGCAGCTGGGGCATTTCCCGTGCCCGCCGCTTCTCTTCGCTTGTTTTTTTTTGTTTCTGGAGGGTTTAGGGTTTAAGGTTTAAAGGTTCTTCAGGGGATGTTCTATGGATTCCTTTACAAGGGTCTCAGGGTTCCGCTTTAGGGTTCAGTTACGGTGTCTTCATGGTTTGGAATGTTTCGACAACTGGGAGGGCCTAATGTATCAAGGCAAGAGCCCTAGGACCAGAAACTCTCAACAAGGTATGCTTGGCTACTGCGGGCCACTTCCCCAGTCTTATGGGCGCACTTTGACATGGTGGCGGCACGCTCTTTGGCTTGGACAGCTCTCAGCTTGGGGTGCAGGTTGCTTTCCGAGCGGGCTAGGCTTTAAGGCTTGATAGGTTTTAGGGTTTGGGGTTTAGGGTTTAAGGGGTGTTTGAGGTCTGTGGGTTTTCAGGGCATCGCTTGAATCGACGAGTAGACCAGGGCAGCTTATACGGTTTTAGGCTGCGTGGCCTGAGCTTGGAGACCCTAAAACCTAAAAAACCCTAAAAAACCTTAAAAAACCTTCAAAACCCATAAAAACCCTAAAAAACCCTAAAAAACCCTAAACCCAACCCTAAACATTAAACCCTAGCCGCTTCAGCGTCGGGCCTAGTGCTCCAATCCCGAAGCCTTAAACCCCAACCCAGTTTTGGGTTTGGGGTTTGGGGTTAAGGGTTTAGGGTTTAGGGTTTAGGGTGGGGTTTAAGCCCTTAACCCGGAACCCTAAGCCCTAAACCGTACCCCGAAGGCCCTAAACCTTACGCCGGCCTAAGGCCTGAAGGCCCGTGAAAAGCCGGTCCGCGGCGCATCAGCAGCCCGCAGCTAGGTAGTGATACTGTTGATGATATAAATCCTGCATTACCTTAGCGACCCTAGACAATGGGAATTATGGTATATTCCGTATTCTGGGTAATGCAGGATTTATATCATCAGCCGTCCTCCCACAAATATTTATAGTATAACTCGCGCCCCTAGCCCGAGACTGTTCATTCAGGCCTCCGTCTCTGAATGTCACGAAAGACGGTAAGAAACTGTCCGAGGAGTACCACGATGGCTCGGAAATGACACCTCCCCCCTAAATCCTAAACCCTAAACCCTTAACCCTAACCCTAAACCCCTAAACCCTAAACTCCTAAACCCTAAACTCCTAAACCCTAAACCCTGAACCCCAACCCTGATCGCCAAACAAATCTCCGACAGCCCCACTCCCCTCGAGCTCGGGCCCTCAAAAACCCCAAACCTCAACCAGCGAAACCGAACAGCCCTAAGACAAAAGCCCCAGACCCTCAACCCTTAACCCCGTACCCCTAACCCTTAACCCCTAAACCCCTAAACCCCAAACTCTAAACCCTTATATAACCCCTTAAGTGTAGATTCTGAAGCCCCGAAGCTCGACAACCCCGAAACGTGTCCCAGACTATCCCAGAGGCCTCCAAACCCACAGAAAGCAGACAAAAAAAATCCAGGCAAGCACCCAAGTCACTGAAAGACGCTCTATAGATAACCCCCACGCCTACACCCTTCATGGGCTTTCGAGAGGCGATCTGCGGATCAGAAAGGAGCCCCCCGAAAAGAGAAGGAACCCGCAACTGGCTTCCAAGAAAGCATCCCCAAAGGCATCCACTCGGGCGACATCGAATATGCCGTTGCCGTGGCCATCCAGGCGCTTGCTTGGTCCTTGGCCTTGAAATTAAGGTTTAGGGTTCAGGGTTTGGGGTTTGGGAGGGGGCAGAGACTTTCATGTTACATGCCTTCTTTTTGATTCTTACACGTAACGCGGTTTTAACAGTGCTTTGGAGGGTTCTGCGGGGGATTCCAGGGCTTCTTAAGGCCTTGAGGCGAGGTTTATGCGTTTTGAACCCAAGCTGCAAAAGAGTAAGGTTTTCCTACTGTTGTAGTGCTTTGAAAGTTTGGGCTTCGTTTTTCTCGGACCATTGAGAAGGAGGGTGGGGATCTCGTCTAATACAGCAGCGCGAGGGTTTTATCGTTGAGGGTTGGGTAGGTTTTGGGGTTGCTGTTACTTTTACAATGCCTCAGGGATTGTTGTTGAAGTATTATTGGCATTACCATCGTTGCTATTACTCTTGCTGATGATTCAAGCTTCTACTCGTCTTTTGAGGTCTGGAATGAAGAGGATCCCCGTCTCTGCAGCTCCTGTTAGACAACATCGCGTCCGTAAGGTCTGACACTCCTAGAAGCTAGAGCCCACATTCACACCATTATGAACCTCTTCAAACCTATCATAAACCCTCTTCAACGCCCAACCCTTATAAGACCCTGATGTTACCCTATAGCCGCGGCAAAACCCTCGCAGCAAA